TCCCAGGACGCGTGCCTATGGTGGGGGCACCCCCCCCCCCCATTTATGATGTCTGTCTCTTTACAAAGACAGCTGATTCTTGATAGTAAGTTTTCAACATCTCTAGTATCACAGGGAGAAGGGACACAAGATTCTTGGCAAAACCAGCACCGTTTTTCTGCAGCACATGCTAGGAAATCGAGCCTCAGACTGTCTCTCTGCACTGGGCTTCTGTCATTAATATTCCCAGCACAGGACCTGGAACTCAGCGGGGGCACAAATGCTGAGTGTAAGGGAGGAGGAGGTGAGGCAGTGTACACAGGGGGATGTCTGCGGCCGTTCCCACCTCCTTGGAAACAACCTCTCCAACGGCTGGTGCTGGGAGAGCATAATGAAGTTTTCTTTTTGGCCTTTCCCTTCCTCCTTTAAACACAGGTAGGGAAATAAGATGTTTTGCAAGTTAATCAAATATTCAGGTCTACTTAAAAGAGTTCTTGTATTAGGAAAACACCAACATTTTACTTACCATTAAAGTTATCCTGAATATACTTTTATTTCTGATAAGATTTAAAATCTGGGTATCTTTTTATACACATTATTTATTCAAATATAGAAAACAGATTCTTCTCTGGACATCCTTTTATAAAGTTTCTAGTTGTTTAGATTCTCTAGATTCTCTAGAATTGGGAATGTTCCATTGCTTCCTGATATAGATTAATTTTATTATCAATTAAATATATCAAAAGTCACTTGCTACATTTATAGTACACAAACAGTTACATTTTCCTTGGGGAATAAAACAGAAAGTAGTATTACTACTAACTTCACAAGAAGTAATTTTTGGCTCTATTTCACTGTTAACGGAAGCTCAATAAGCATCAAATTATAGAGTTTTAGTGCTAGATAGGACTTCGGGCAAGTCGCTGACATTTTATTATTAAACTATCCCAAAGCATCATTTAAAAAATATTATACTTCATGGGTTATCTTCAAAAGCAACCCCAGGAAATATTCCACCTGTGCAGATCACAGATTTTTGATTAATAGTTCATACCCAGTATTTCTGCCGTCTCCAAGTGCCGCTTCGGAAACATCTGGGCCGTGAAAGCAAACACCGCTGGGGACGTGAGTACCACAGAAAGGCCATGAGGCTGTGGAGAAAAGGAACGGAGTGACCGGTGGCCACAGTGTTCGTCCCCCACATAGTCGAGGCATTAAGTTACTTTATGTTCCATTAATACTTAGAACAGTCAAGAATTGACAAACATATTTTGGAAATTGTGAAAAATGTAATATTTAAGGGGTTATTTCTTGTTATTATTTTACCACCAGTGAGTGATCCACATTATAGTCCTTTGCTTTATACGTCTTCACTAAACCTGAAATTGGATAAGACATTCCATGGCTAGAAAAGAAAGAAAATCCTCATGTTGACAAACAGATATCAGAATTCAAGTCAATAAAACAGAGATACTCTTACGAGAGAGCTCTTTAGTCTCTGGACAATGTCACCTCACAAAGTCATATGTTCTATTTCCGTTGAAATAAGGATAGGAACCTTGTTGTTTAGTGTATCTATTTGCAAAACCTCAGCAAGCTTCAAATTCAATGTTCATAGAATTGTATGTCATCAAAGAGTTATCAATTCAGAAGTAGCTCCTCAAACACACTGGCCAGTCTTAGGATCTCCAAGACTCGAGAATTTGCTTTGAAGTTTCTGGAAAGGCTCTGTGTGTGTGTGTGTGTGTGTATCTTCTGTTTTGCCCTTACACTTCCCTGGCAGTGTGCTCCTGCACAAGCTGATGACATTGGGGGAGTTTTACCAGCCAAGATGAGCTGCAGTTGACATGCACGCTTGACCTGCCAGTGCTCTGCCCACCAATAACTGATAGATCCTAGCAAACGTTACTGCCTAAAGGAGTAAAATCATAAGTAATTATTCTAGCCTGACAGGCTGTTAAATCCAGTCTAATTTAACTAATTTCTCTTGCCTGAATTCTGTTTTTGTTTGTTTGTTTTTGCCATAGGGCAAGTGTTCTCACTGGAGAGACAGAGAGACAGTGAGAGGGAAAGTGAGAAATCATCCCCAAGGAGGGATGGCTATGATTTAATCCCTTCTCCTCAACTTTCCTCCTGGGATTTCGAACATGCATACATACATGCCTGACATAAATTTTAAGTAATTAGGTTTGGGACTCAAACCATGGTTAGCCAAGTGTGAGTCCAGCACACTAACTACTATAATACCCTCTCCTGCCTCTATTCAACCTTAATGACTTATTTAGATTTAGTTGTCATCAAAAAAAGGCATTGGACCAGCTGATTGTGTGATGATTAAGGCAGCTGGATCCCATGGGGCCAACCATGAAGTTCAAGTGCTAGACTTGGAGGCTTGAATAAAACACTTTAGTATGTGGGTGTCCAAAATTCCAAAAAGAGGGAGAAATGGTGACAGGTGCTTTCTTACTTTCCATGCCCCCACCACAAGTGCATGCATTCCCTAGCAAGTTAAATAGATAGATAGATAGATAGATGATAGATAGATAGATAGATAGACAGATATAGATAGATAGACAGAAAAGGTATCCAAAATAAAAAAAGTAAAAAGAAAACTGGGACCAGCAGATGGCAGAATGGTTACATCGCTGGACTCCCATGTAGTCAACGCACTTCAAGTCCTGGACCTGGTGACTTGAAACTCATACCAGGGGCTTGTGCATGTGCGTCCAAGATTCCAGGAGGAGATAGTGTTGTGGTTATGTTGCTGGACTTCTACATGGCCGACCATGGTTGAAGCCCCAGATCTGGTAGCTTGAAATTCATGCCGCCAGGAACATATGCATGCCTTTCCAAGATTCAGGGAGGAGAATGGAGGAGAAGGGATTGTAGCATGGCCATCTCTCCTGGGGAGTGATTTCTCACTTTCTCTCTTGCTGTCTCTGTCTCTCTCCAGTGAACACATGTGCCCTAAGGCAAAAACCTCTAAAAAAAATGTGTATATGTATATATATGTGTGTGTGTGTGTGTGTGTGTGTATAAAATTAGGTTGATGGGTATTATTTTAATATTTGTCTGTATTCTTTGTAGAAAATAAAATCACCCATACTCCTATTCCTTTCTAGTAATTTTATGCCTATATTTAATTTATGATCATAAGTACGTATCATTTTATACACTGCTTTGTTACTTAATATTATTTGTAAGTATCTTTCCTATATAATTTTCTCTTTTATTTAATTATTTTTATGGCCTTTAGTTAACTATTCCCAAATTGTTGAAAATTTAGGTTACTTCTAAATATTTTAATTATAAATAACACATAAGTGAATATTCAAACAAGTTCTTTAATCATAAGCATATTTCTTTTTTAAAAAACGTTTTTTTTTTTTTTTAAGTTTTGCTATAGTGTGTGTGTGCTCACCAGAGAGACACAGAGAGAGAGGGAAAGTGAGAAAGCATCCCCTCGGGGGGATGGCCCACGCTGCAATCCTTTCTCCTCCAGTCTCCACAGGATTTTGGGCATGTGTGCACGCATGCGTGTGCATGCACACACACACCAGGCATAATTTTCAAGCCTCTGGGTCCAGGACTAGAACAGTGCAGTTGACCACGTGAGTTCCAGCACTTTAACCTTCATACCATCTGCTGGCTCCAAATGAATATTTCTTTAGGCTAGATTTCTAGATATGTACTTTATCTTAGTCAAAAGACCGAGAAGAGGTAGATTTTAGAAGTGAGTTAGTGGGCCAAAGCATATAAATATTTTCAGGCTCTGGATGCATTTTGCTTGCTTGCCTTTTAGAAAGATCTTACTAATTTATACTCTCATCAGCAGTAGAGTTTGAGGATGACCATTTCATTACATTCACCCTAGCGAAGGCCTACTTAATTTACAATGTTAACTGGTTTTCAATTTTTTTTTTTTTTAAGAAAGATTTTTGCTCTAGGGTGCTCGCTCTCACCAGAGATGGAGAGACAGCAAGAAATAACCCCCTAGAGGGAATGGTGATGCCACAATTTCTTCTCCTCTATTCTCTCAGGATTTGGGGCATGCACACACATGTACCTGGTGTGAGTTTTAAGCTGCTGGGTTCAGGACTTGATTATGTGGGAATACAGCAATGTAACCATTATGCCAACTGCTGGTTCCATTGGTTTTCAATTTTAAAGCAACATACCAATAAAAAAACTGACAAAATGGATGAATTCTGAATTATTCACAAAGATTTTTTGATCCTTTCGTTTCTGTGAGAAATGAAGGGAGCAAATCCTGCCTTTGAAGTTGTAAAAATCCACAACACATGGAGAGGATGTGGAGAAATCAGAACTCCCATCCACTGCTGATGGAATGTAAAATGGTGCAGACTCTGTGGAAAACAGTCTTGCAGTTTTTCAAAATTTAAACACAGAATGACTGTATGACCTAGCAATCCCACTCTTCCACATAGAATAAGAGAAATGAAAAGCTTTTGTCTATACAAAAACTTGTACAGGACTATTCAGAGCAACAACAATCATAATAGCTAAAAAGTAACAACCCACATGTCCATCAATGGATGGATGGACACATAAGCTGGGGCATATCCATGCGATGGAATGTTACTTGGCAATAAGAAGGAATGGAATACTAATACATGAATGAACTCCGGAAATATTATGCTAAGTAAAACAAGCCAGGCACCAAAAAGACCACATATATAATTCTATTTATATGAAATGTCCACAATGAGGAACTCTATAGAGCTAGAGAGGAGGAAAAAATTTTAAAGAAACAAAAAAGAAAGTAGATCAATAGTTGTTTAGTATTTGGGGGAGTGGGGAGACTGGAGAATGACAGCTAAGGGGTATGGGATTTGTTTTGGGGTGATAAAATGTTCTAAGTTGATTGGAATGATAGTTGCCCAATTTTATGCTATGTACTAAACTTGACTGAATTGTACATTTTAATTGTACCTTGTGCAGTATATGAATTATACCTTTTTGTTGCTGTTGTTTTAGAAAGAGATTTTTGCTATAGGGCACGTGTGCTCTCCTGAGAAACAGAGAGAGACAGAGAGACAGAAAGTGAGAAATTATCCCCCAGGGGCATGGCTGCACCACAATCCCTTCTCCTCCAGTCTTTTCTTGGGATTTTGGGCATGCATGCGCACGTGTCTGAAGTGAGTTTTATGTCACTGGGTCTGGGACTGGAACTGTGGTCGACTACATGGGAGTCCAGCAATGTTATCATTGCACCATCTACTGGTCCCAGTATGTTAATTATATCTTAAAAATTCCTTATAAAAAAAAAATCCATGACCCAGGGCTGGCAGGTGACATAGTGGTTAAGGGTGCTGGACTCCCACATGGCTGACAGTGGTCTGAATCCCGGACCTGATGGCTTGCTTTCTTACTTTCCCTCTCTCTCTCTCTGTCCCTCTCTGGTCAAATTAAAATACATAAATAAAGTTAAATTAAGAAATTTTTAAAAATAATAAAATCCATGACCCAATAACTACACTCAAATTAAGAAAAGATTTAGGGAACGTAAGTGAAATTCCTTCTTTCTACAGTGTATTTAAATTTTATCACCTGTTCTGAATTATGAACATTTTAAAAATATTTAAAAGTAATAGTTCTAGTAAAGAAAGAAAATCTCAAGTTTGCTCACCACAGATGGACACCAGCATTTCCAAAGCCAATGCCTGCAAAAGCACTTGCCAAGTGCATATTAGACCTTGCTTCAAGATCATCAGGATTTCTGATAGCCCTGTGAATGACATAAATACCTAATAATAACGCATCAACTCTGGCATTTCCTAGTG